TGTGCCAGTACGGGGGAATACACCTGGCAAGCTAGGGATTGCATGCGCGGCCCTCGAGCGGCACGAGCTTTGCGGCCGAAAGGCCCTCTTATGACGCCACGACGGGTCGGGTGTTTTTCGTGTTTTTTCGCGTTTAGTTACATCTTCGAGGAAAACGAATGCGCTATTCATATCCACGGGATAAAACTACGCTAGAATCAAGCTCTATCTCATTTTTTTAAAGAAGTGTTCCGGCTTCCCTTTAAGGACTGCGCCTCAGTTCAGGATCTTGCAGAACGTGCACTGAAAACACTCGTCCCACTTATCCAACCAAGGATCTGAGAGGGCTGTGTCACTCCTCCACGAGGGGCAGAGTATGATTTATGTCCATTCCTAGTTAAGCACATTAAGAGCTACATGAACAGGGAAAGTCCCTAATTTCATCCCCCTCCAGTAGCACCGGTCTTGGTACAATACAGATGTTTCACTTTCTCTGTTGAAAGTCCTAGTGGGCCTCACACGGAAGCCGTCTCTCACCGGAGCGCCCGTTCAAAGGTAGCTGACTCGCAGCGGCAGAATATTGTTGTAATGGTGGCCTCAGCTCCCGGTTCCACTGGACATAGGTCAGACGATCCTCACACACAAAAACATGAAAACTTCGTGATTTGTCACCATGCCGCTGACACTACTTAGGATTTCAGTCCAGCGCGGTTCCTTTGCCATGACAATGCAGCTTCCTTTACAAAGTACCTGCAATACAGGTCTCTCACTGCGGCGGCCACTGTGTTGCATTTTCGGGCAGATTGCTCGACGTGCCGCGATCTCAGCCTCGGTTGGTGGAGCAACGCGTTTGTCTGGTGAGAGACCTCCTTGCGCCACTGGCCATCAACAATGTTGCCGAAGTGGTCGACTTCAATCAGCATAGGCATTTAGCATGTGCAACTTGTCGTCTTGTAGGTAGTTGTGCAGCACACAAGCTGCGCGGACGACTCCAGTGGCGTGATCAGGGAGGAGGTCGATTGGCCTGCGGAAGATGCGAAATCTAGTAGCCAAAATTTCGAATGCGTTCTCGGCGCCCATTCTGGAAATGGGACAAAGACAACACTGTGATTTTTGTTATTATAATGCAAGTGCAAAAATCCTAAAGGTTACCTCGCTCTACACAGTCGATATTTTAATATTTTTAGATAATCGCTGAGGTATCAAGCAGGACAGGGCCTCAGAAAGTCCGACCTCAGTTGAAATGCCTCGTCTCCACCGAAGACGGACGCGGCGATAACATGGGAAGATGGCAGCAGATTTGGTGGTGGACAATTCAAGGCAGCTTGACTGAGGCCCTGTCCTATCCTTGATGCCTTGAACACGCCACAATCACTTTGGTGGCCATACGCTCCAGCGTCTGTGGCCATAAACCTCGACTTGCTGTCCACGACGGCCATCAGCACTATAGAGTAGGTTACCCTGAAAAGCCGAATGTTACGTCACTTCATGCGCTCTTGAAAAACATGATATGTGTTGAAGCAATTTTGTAGACCCATATACAGCACCTTGTAGTTATAGTACAGGCTTCCAGAATCGGCTAGGGCTTCGATATGTACCTGTTTTCCGTCAACGTTCCCCACACAATTAGGAAAATTCCGCCCTGTCTCAAAGCCCTCGGCAATTTCCCTTAGTCTGTGATTCTTGATGGGAGCTAGAAGTACAGCAAAAAGTTCAGACATGGTTTTACGTTGTTATTTAAAAGCCGTTCATGTAATCTTACTTTACCTATAGTAATACTGGGAATAAATGCATCCTCATATATGAGAAATACTTGTTGACGCTTAAAAGTTGCGATTATTTTTTTTTACTGAATCTGAAAAGCTGTGTGTCTGTTTGTTTTTTGTTTTCTCCCTCGCTCCGTTTTTTCTACGTTCAGCTGGAAACTTTCAGAAGCATGTTTAACCAACTAGCCCAGCTCCAGGCACTCACCACTTACTTTTGTAAGCTATCATATTATGCCCACGTCAAACCGGTGTCAGACTGCTTATACAAAAGACAAAAAAAAAAAAAAAAAAACAGTCTGCAGACATCGATCGAACGCGGCTCACTGACGCATCCGTGTCTCATAATCCGCGTGCCAGGCTGCTCCTTTCATTGGTTGCCATGCGACATACCAAGCAGGGATGCTGCGGTGCCTCAAATTACTATTTGTCTGCAAACTGTGTTCGTAGGATGCTTGATGTGTGACCCCGTCTTTCGAAAGTGGCGCAGTAATAGCATTGGGGCCCTCAACATCCTCAGGTCTGCAGCCTTCCCTTCCCCCCAAGTTCGTCCCTATAATCATAAATCAATGGCTCTCTGTTGTGTAAACTTTTTGAGAAACCATTTTTGACAGTAGAGCTTTCAACATGATTCATCTAGACATTTCGGCTGCGAATAGTTAGGAGCAGCTGTAAAGGACTGAGTTTGCTGCAGTGATTTGTACACCCGACTCCCATAATTACCTCCAGGTGGGGTGTGACCCCCCCCCCCCTCCAGAATGTCTTAAGCAATGTATATAAATCTAAAGCCAGCCCCTTCCAACACCCCCCTATTTATCTCCAGGTTGGGGGCGACACCCCCCAGAATTTCTTGACCAATGCATCTAGACCTAGGGCCACCCCCTGCCAACAGCCCCCCACCCCCCGAATAATTGCAACACCCCCTGATTTAGAATTCTGGATGATTCCGTGGTTTGGTCGTGTGTAGAAAGAGTACACCTGGGCAGGGGGGGGGGGGGGGGGGAACTTGAATTCATCAATTTCCCAACACCACCAATGTGAGTCTTGTTCGTAATGATCTACATCTTTAAAGGCGGTATTTAAGGGGTATTCACACGAGGGATAAATCCCGGGGATTTCTCCCCGACACGCGCGTATCACGAGATGAAAACGCGAGGCTTTTGCACATCGAAAAGCCTGACGTTTTCGTCGTGGGATGCTCGTGCCGGGGAGAAATCCCCGGGATTTCTCCCTCGTGTGAATACCCCTTTAGTGGACGCCGTATTGGCGCGCATTATTCGCAGCTAGAGCTCAAAAAGAACTGCTACGTACTGCTGGCAAGATAAACAATCTTGACGGTGTGAAATATACGTTGCAGAAGCGTTGTGCAAAATAACTAACAGCGCGTGCTCTCAACAGCAACCGGCGTAAGCTATGGCCCCCCTGAATACCACACGACCGGAATACCACCTCCATTTTTAAGTGTTTTTTTTCATTACGAGACGCCAGCGACTCTTTCACAGCATGCATGCGACACTAAGGATACGGTTGGTTTCGGATGAGGCGCGTTTTTATTGGCTGTCTTTTCGTACCGTCGCAGCGGCGCTGGTGACGTCACGAAAGATGTTTGACAATTGACGCAGCTCCGATTATTTCAAAATCGCATTGAACCTGCCTGTTTGCCGCAACAGCGCCGTCGCAACTGCGAAATCGTAACTAAAATCGCTCCATGTGAAACCGTCCTCTTTTCCACAAGTTACCAAAAACGAAATCAGATTTATTTGCTTACCTTCGTGTGTTTTGGGCGAAGCACCTTTCATATATGCGGACATCTCTCATGCACGATGGATGCCACTGTTGACACTCCAACTTGAATTGCAGTGCAAGATCCTGCATTGACGTTGCCGATGACAGGTACCTGAATAAAAACAAAACATTGCTGTGTACATTAATGTATGGAAGCCGAGAAACTAGTAATGAGTTCGCCATATAAACCAGTTTAATTGCACCTCGTATTCACTCCAAACAGTGCAGTTTAAGAGAATACCATTTTACCTCAAAGTGATAGCAAGCCGCACCCGCGATGAAATGGGCTCTCCGACGACATATTGCTTCGTAAGCTTTGTTTCCAAGCGAGCGTGGGGTCTTTCAAAGGCGCTCGGCATTATCCAGTAATATCTTCGAATCTGCTCCAGGTCTCTGTGCAGCATAAAGAGGGTATGTAAAGAAAAAGTATTCCAGAAACCTGCTCGCAGAAAAGCACAAGTCGACTTACCAATGAGTAAAACTCCGATTCTTTGGCTCTGTTTTGCCAGCACGGCCTGACCCTCCATCACCACGGGCTTCCATCTAGGAGCAGCAGTTTTTTTTTTTTTTTTTTTTCCGCAGAAGTAGGTATTCCTTTTTACAGAGCAGTCCGAACTCGTCGTCATCTAGAGTAGCGGCCATCATGCTCTATGAAAGTCAAGACGCGCTGCTACTTGCCCTCTTTCAATATGGAACATCGTCCACGCGACGACGCCACCGGGACAACTGTTCGGCTTGCGCGACATGCCAAGCAACGCAACAACTAGCTTGCTCAAGCAGTTATGAGCTGTGGCTCTCCCGGTGTCCTTGTCGCATTCGTCGTACTCGTTGTTTTCGTCGTTTTCGTTGATGCGAATGCAGTCGATGCAAACGTCTGAATCGGCCCTAAATATAAGCATACCGCGTACTTTTTACCAGAAGCTAATAAATAAATCTGAAAATTTTATAATTTCGTTAAATATCGAAATTAGTTTCCTCAAACGAATTCAAGGGTTCCAACCATGTGCTTCGCAAGTGGGGAAAATCGCATATGTTCTCAATCAGTGTGAAAGGAAACACGAAATTTCGCATGTGCGGTTCATCGCTTCACCGATTTCGCAGAAGAAAATCGCACCATGTGAATCAGGCTTTAGGCATTTGGGCTGCGCGATTTCCCTGCGACCACAATAACAATGGAAGTTTGACAAAAATTGGCTAGTCGACAAAGTTGAAACAAATGCGAGACAGTATATAGACATGGTTTTCGGGTTTTCCGGTGTGCGCATCCGCCATTTCAAGTGGCAGGCTACAGCTCAACAGCATTTTTTTCGTTGACCACTTCTCATCTTCCACTCTGCCCTCCGCCACTAAGATATTGCAAATGCGCGTGCGCCACTAATCTCGTCAGCGGAGATGTGGATACGGCAGCGGGTTCCGCAGAGCCTTCCTGGAGGGGGGGGGGGGGGGGGGAATAATCTACGAACACTTCCTAATCAGTTATAGACACGTGTTTCTTTATTACATACTATTATTTAAAGAAAAATGAAAGATGTTTACAAATCTCTGTAATGCGAAATTAGAGCGCAGTTCCTGAAAAGGAGGGGAGGGTCGAGGGGAGGTTATATGCCCCTCCTCCTCCGTATCCTCTCCTCCTGCCCCTCCCCTTCCGTCCTCATCTCCCCTACCTTCCCTTCCATCCCCTCCTCTCCCGTCCTCCTCCAATTTAGTTTCCCCGCTAAATTTAGAGGGGTAATTTACATCACATGACTTCGTGTCACGTCACCTATGAGCAAATTCAGTTTCACCACTAGATTTAGCGGAAAAATCGACGTAGCGGGGTATTGAATTCATGCTGAGGTCACGTGACGTCAATTTTTCTGCCAGATTTATTGCGCTTACGCCGACGCCAAATGCGACGCCGACGACGCGAAACACGGATACGGGCGCCTAAGAGCTGCGCTCTAAAAAGTCAGAGACATCCTCCATAAATAGGCGAATTCTACATTTTAGGTCGTGCACTGAGACGAAAAATAAAAAAACAAATAGCTGCAGACAAACGAAGCTAAAGAAGTTCAAGATAACTCTGATTACAAGAACTGGTCAATCACACTGAGAAGCATACGAAATCGTGAAGTATCCATTATAATTCCAGAGTAAAAAACGCTATAGACACAAATAAAACTTAGAAAGCGCATCAGATATTTGCAATTGTTGTAGAAAATAGCAAAAATAATAAGCAAGTTTCAGTGTCACCCTATTTTAACAGCATTATCAATTAAAATAATAAACACTGGCTAATCACAACACTTAACGGCGAAAACAAAATGAATGCTTCCACAACTGACACCGTCTCGAAGGATTCATAATCGTGCCACGAGAACAGTTAAATGCCTCTGAGAATTCCGGAAAATTCATAAGCGGCACATTGCAACGGGCCCTCATAGAGCTCAACATACGGGACGTAGGAGCTGCTCTCTTGACGCACAACTTGACGCAAGACGCAATAAAAAAAAGCTGCCTAGAGTTGTATGGTAGGTCCGCGAATCGCTTCTTGTCTCCAAGGTCTCTGAATGTTTGAAACGCCAGCCAAAGTCCGATAAAGTCTCCCATTATCTCAGAGTCCGTTAATTCTCTAGTTTGACCTCCTCTTCCTTGAACAAGTTGATCGTACTCTTCTCGGAAGCAGCGCACCTTTTCTGTGTAGTTGCGACCAGTGAGAGGTGTCCACCAGTAGCGCCCGTTGACACTTGAATCCTTCTGACTTCCCGTCAGGTTGAAGGCGTGCATCATTTCATGTGCAACCATGTGTCCTAATCCTCCGTAATTGAAGGAGCTCAGACCACCCAATTCGAAGAGCGGAGGCCGTAACAGGAAAGCAGGAATTTGTATCTTGTTTAAGACTGGAACAAAGGTCACGAGTGGTGTGTCCACGTGGAAGCCATACCTGGGCTGTTCTTCGAGCAGTGCTTTGGCGGTTAGTCGCGAAGCCTTCACCCATATGTTGAGAAAAGAACAGCCGGTCGTGGGATATATGTTGTACCGTTGGTTCAGTGCTTCCTCAGACAATAGAAGTGAAGAATAACTGATTTGCGGCTGCATTGAGCTGAGTTTCTGGGAGGCACCTGATCTTGAATGTCCTTCTATCCAGTTGGCGGAGTCAATCTTTATCAGTGCAGTTTCGCGAATGTTCTTCAGCAGAGTTTCCGTCGCACCCATAGCTTCTCTGGGCACTGCTTTAAACAAGTAAGTTGACAATGCGGCCACCTCCATCACGCGCACAACTGCAGCCAGACAGAGCCTTTTAGCAGATGGTTCTCCGTAAAGGGATGCTGCAGCGGGGTACGTGAGGGGGGCTAAAAGGCGCAGAACATCCCAAGTAACCAAGAGGTTCACACCGGTAGCTTGGACGCCTCCATAAAGATTATTAAAATACTCCAATGCGCATGGGCTTACAATTACCTGCTGATTTGTCTTCCAGGTACCGTTGGATTGATTGGTTAGAAGTGCAGTCCACTTGTGTGAATGTATATTCGAAGTGTATGTAGGCAAAACCCTTCGCTCCACGCTTATGAAAGTCTGGAGACAACTTAATTTTTCAGCAGGCAGCCATCCAACTGCTTTCTCTTCTAAATTTATTATTTGCTTGATAAGCTCCGTAGTAACTTGGCTATCTTCTCGAAGACCATACGCCATTATATGTCGTTTGTAAAATTCTACGGAGTGATCGCAACCCAAATTAACTCGTCGCGTGATCCAATCGACGTGGTTTGTATGTATCCCTACCTTAAGCTGTATTCCGTTTGCTTTACTGGCATAATCTTCTGCCGACATTTTCAGTACGGCGTTTATATTGTAAACAAATGCGAGTCTAGCAATAGTATCCAAGGCATCACCTTCAGCCGTGTTTGTCAAGAATAGACCCGCACCATCCATAAACCTTCTCAGTGATTCCGATTCGTCCACTCTGTGTTCCCGCACACTTCTGCACGCTTGGTACAAACCCGCAGCTTTCTCAGACGGCTTTTGTGAGTGTTTCGGAACGCTCAGATCCGCAAGAACTTTCTGTACATGGCTGTACATTTCCTCGGTCATCTGGTTGAGTATTTGCTCGGACGGATCACTGAAACTGCCGCACGCAAAACGATAAAAATCGTGGCAGGGATTAACGTTGGCATTTATACTGCGTCTTATTATTCTAACGGTATCAAAACAAGCTTTGTCCTTGCAACTTTCTGAACTTGTGCGGTCACTGTTTGTGGTAGCCCCACCTGCTTTGTCGCCTGCAAGCCCTCTGTCGTACGCGGGGAAGAGGAATTGAACAAGAGAGAAGACTAAAATGACCATGACAGCAAATGAAACAGCAAGACACACAGCTGCTTCCGTGGACATCACGTTGCTTTCTTCAACCGTTGTAAAATCTTCTCTTGAGTATTCGTCGACCCACTGAAACATGAGAAAAAACAAAGATATAAAAGATTCGGTTTGGTCATCCTGCCTGATATTTTCTTTATTATTCTAAAAACTCACACAATAACAATTAAGTTAACCAGTGAAATAAATTCGCTGTTTACATTCTCCATGGGTCCGTTTTTATTTCTCACGCAACCGTCTCTAGTTTCAGTAACAAAAAGGTATGTATTCCTAACTACAGGTTGGTTTTCTATCGCCTTTATTTGTTCTAACACCCGTTTCGCTTAAGTCATCAAAAACCTAGAATAAAACAATTGTCCGAACGGCAACAACGTCGGTCATATTGACTGCATGCCTGGCAATATACTGCTTAACCTTTTTTTAAAAAAACATAGATTCTTATGTAAACCAATATCGCATCAAAATTCGTCAAGAAAGACTCGCGCAAATATATAATACCGATTTCCTTTTGTGGGGAATTCTTGCACCCTGTCGCCTATTTCTGTAATACAGTTATGGCATATATTTTGTCTATATAACAAACTACCAAAAAAGAAATAAGAGAGGAGATTATAAACAAATGTTTTACTTTTTTAAATATTTGCTCTACCGCTTTTCAGACACCTTGAATGCAGGCGCGCAGCCTCATGTTTCTACTGATTCATCTTCCGGTGCATCATGTACTGGGACTTATTTGAGAAATTGAATATTCTAGTTACGATAAAATTCGCGAAATGTGTAGATTTACAATCAATTTGTTATCCTCTCTGGAAAGGTGACGAGTAGGATATGCGAGGTGACGCGTTCATACTTATACTGGTGAAAGAAAACATGAAGATTTAGAAGCCGAGAAAAAAACAATTTACTGTCTCCTAACAGTAACAGGTGCAGTATACTGTAGCTGAGTGATGGAATATACTGTAGCTTTCTATTGCGATGATTTCAACATGTAGATAAAGGCGTTTTCAAAAGTGTGTGTGTGTGTGTGGAAAGGCGGGGGAGGGGGAATTTCTCCTTTTGGCTCTCCGGCCTGCGCATCACGTCGTAACAACGTCACGTGTTCGCGCGAAGCTGCGCTGATGTAAACGTCCCAGGAGGATGGGAGAACTTTTGCTTGTGCTGCACAAATTAACGCTCCCGGTCTTTGCGAAGGATGTCTTCGCAATTTATGGTATTTTGTTCGCGTGTCGGGCAATTTACAAAGTTTTCTCAGCGTGATATCGGTGGTGACCCTGTAGCATCGGGATCACCTAAGTTGTTGTGGCTTGCGCTGTTGTGCATGTCGTCCGAGGCACCTCAAGAATAATTCGATATTCATCAATGCCATCCTCAAGCCACTCCTGGTACAACCAAATATAGATTTTACGTTTTGTTTGTTGCAACCGCCTATAAAAAACATCGTTTTATTTATTTATTTTTAGCAGGAATGAGTTTGCCGACTTCTGCATCTAACAGCGCTTCTGCCAAAATCCCGTATCGCCGTTTCATGTATACCTCTATTTTTAACACTCGCCAGCGCGCGCCGAGTCCAGTTTTCGAGAATGCGACCGCTAAATGATTCTGAAAACAGTGGCATCCCACTCAGGGAGGAAGTCCAGCTGGTTTTGCCAATCACTGATATCACACATATCGCTGCCCTAGACTCACCCCACGTGTAAATACCCTTACCTTTGTCATCGTGCTGTGTACGTGCGTAATGCGATAGCGGGGCAAGTCACAGAACACGAGCGCGTGGTAAGTGAACTGGACATTTCATCCATGGCGTCGTACGCCAACGAACACCATGCGCGAAAATTTATGATGGCTTGGCCTCTGCCCCGGACCAGCGGTGAGCGAGAATAAAACAAGTTAATATTAATGACGCATCATCGTGGGGCTTGCCGCTTGTCTGTGTCCTGGCCGAGCAGTGCAACAATAAGATGTGCCTGCACATGCTCGATGGCAGGGGAGTGCGCAAACTCGACAAGAACCAGGCTATCACGGAAGTCGTTAGCTCCGCGAACTCCCGTAAGCTGCTCCTCAGTATCTTGTGATTTTCGTCAAGAGAGGTGAAGACGTGTGACATGGGGGAGACCATGTCCGTCATGCGAGTTCAGACCCGAGGGGAGGACCACGCTCTCATCCTCGACCTATGGAGTCCGTTTAAGAGCTATACAAGAGAGGCCGAAGACGCCAAGGAGTTATTGGCAGGGCCAAAAACCAGGAGGATGCTGAAGGGCTAACGTGCTGCATGAACCTGCTCACTCTAATATTCGGCTGTCCCGCGGATCCACGTTGCACCTGCTGTCCTGTCTGCATCGCATCGGCCAAGGACATCGTCATCGTTGACATAAAAGTATCCAAGCATTATCGTCAGTGTTTAATTTATTTTAACTCGAAGCTGCCTGCTGTTCTCTGCGTTCTCTCTCTACACCCGAGGTAAACGTAACTCAACCGGATTTTTTTTTTAAGTGGTGCTCTTTTTTATGCTTGATTGGAGAGGCAGACGTGTGGAAAAGTAAACAAACATTTTGTTACATGTTATTTTTTTTTTTCAGATTAAATATTTTTGGGATAGCTGCGCTTCGCGATAATGACTCTGCAACGTTAATGTTTCTTAAACGGTTATCTACCCTACAAAGAAAATTTTGATGTGGCATCGAGGGTAACTGATTCAATGCATTCTTGCTGAGCGCGAGTGTCTATTTTCCCGGGTTCGGTGCGGTGCTTTTTTGCAGTGCCATTGAAATTATGTTTAAAAAAAAGGGGGAGGGGTGGTTATGTGGGAATTAGCCCTTTCTCATGCGAATTGAAACGTGGTGGCGCCAGTGTACAAATAGCCTCACACACTTACGGTTCTGAACCAGACGGCGGGTTTCGCCATATTTGCGAGGTCAAATCAACGTGATATTCTTGTCGCTTATGCCAGTGTCACACATAATGCACTCTTACGGTAAAATAATGATACGTAAAAAAAATATTAAAAAATTACAAAAACCGGAAGTGTCCCAGGGCTACCAATCGATGGCGCCACTGAGTTTGTTGCCAAACAAAGAAGGGCGAATACGTAGATAGCTTGGCCATTGATGCAGCTGGCGCGCGGTTTGCGATAGCGGGCAAGGCACGGAGCGCAAGGGCGTGGCTGGCAAAGGAACGCGACAGTTCAGCTATGGTGGCCTAAGCCACCGAACACGGGGCTCGAAGATTACACAGGTCTTTCATCCCTTTATGACTTGACCTTTCCCTCCGGACAAGCCGTGAGCGAGTATACCACACTATGCTTGTAGAGATTGAGTCTAGCAAGACTTAAAACAAGTATCGAAACTACCTCTGTCTTTCTTTATTAATAGACCGATCTCACCAACCGTTCGACGCATGCGCGAGGCAGCCATAACTTTAGTTCACAGGGGGCAATCGGCAGTGCACAAGACTGTTCGTGCCCTGCACGCGCAGAGTTCCAGCGAGGTTGCCGCACGCGCAGAAAGACTAAAGTTCTCTCAATGTATTGCGGCAGCGGTGGCGTAGTCAAACTGGCTGGTGAGATCGGTCTATTAAAAATGTGTTTTTCCGGGGTTTTTTTGTTTTTTTTTATTTTTACTTTTTTCATCGTAATAACTTGAATTACTTTAGTTCAGAAGTGTTCATCTTTTATAGTGAGAATGCCTGCTTAGCCACCCCTGTAAGATGAAATCGAATATTACCGCTACCGAAACTATGCAACGTTTACTGCCTCCAGGATCCGCTAGTGTCGTCCTAGGTCCTGTTTCTTTTCCCTTTTTTATTAAAGAAATTGCATTATTTATCACTTGATATTAAGTGTTATTAATTGCATAATTAGACGCTACGAACAAGTAGAAAACTTGAACTTTCGTTGACGTCAAGCTTCTTTGGCATGACGTCGTCCTCAGAGTTTATCACGTTTACACTGCCACTGCCTTGCCGAGTATCGTACGTAACTCCATGGCTCAGCACAGTCACATTTACCACATTAAAAACTGAGCCATTCGCTCGTCACACGAAAAAGGCTAATGATGGAAGCAGCCAGCGGAACAAGCGCGTTCTTCTACAGACCACTGTAAAACCAGGGAACCGAAGTCTTTTTGCAATCTCTAAAAATCTTTCAAGTTTCTGTATCATCTGGTGCCATATGTAAGTACCAGCGTCAACCCGACGGTCTGCTTCCATTTTCCTACCGTCCGTAGGAAAAGAAAGATGTTTTTGTTTATTTTTTGCATTTTTCGTAGACATTTACACTCACCGATTTCGATGGAGTATGAAAAATGCACCACCTAAAAACACCTTTGTGAAACGTTTCGTGGTACTTATACTCTTTTTACGCCCAAATTCTTCCGAGAACTCATAGATGGAATATGGAAAAAACTAAACCATACACGTCTCTAGGATTGCGTTGGATCTAAATTTAATTAAATGATTTTTTTAGAGATTCTGCAATGAATACACATATTCACCTTTTATGAACTGACGAGAGACCATGGCACTCTTTCAAGCGAGAAACCCATGTCAGCCCGCGCTCGTAGTGCACGCGCGTTCGTTGCCCAAACAAATCGAACAGGCGATTTCTAAGAACATGTAAACGGCTTGAAAATTTATCGGTCTGCGGTCTCCTAAGAAGGTGTGCTGGACTCTGCCTAATGAACTCAGCTAATAAACTAGCCATGTGTGCGTGTTTTTTGTTTTGTTTTTTGTTGGTGGGGGGGGGGGGGTTAATTTTTTATTACAGCTGTGCAGCATCACCGCCGACGTTTGAGGTGTACAGTAAAGGCAACATTTGCAGCGTTCTCCCCATTCATGACGAACCCAACGAAAAGCAGAAGCAGGTATGAAACCCACGAAGATGAAAAAAGAGAACTGTGTTTAAGTTTTCAGCTTAGAAATAAACTACGCGCTAGCGGCTAGAACTAGTTTCCGAAATTTATGAACTCACTGTTATTTTA